GGAGTGGAAGGAGAAGAAGAAGGGGAGGAAGGAGGGGAGGGGGAGGAGAAGGGAAGACAAAGTTCCCGTCTTTGAGAAACCAGTCTTACTGGAGAAGCCAGAGAACCTCATGACAACTGAGCCCAGCCCCAAATTCAGAAGTGGAGATGAGAGATGTGTGGTCCAGCAGGCCGGAGGAGGGAGAGGCTGGCTGGAGCATGGGTGGAGAAAACAGGAGGGTAAACTCCCTGGAGGGGAGGAAACCTCTGGAGGCTTTGGAAGACACTGAGGGTACTGTAGGGACACACTAAGCCCTTCGTGGATATTGTTGCATGTCACCCTGCTAGGAGCTCTAAGAGGTGGTGCTGATGTTATCCCCATTCTACAGAGGCGGGAACTGAGGCTCAGAGAGGTTAATGCCTTGTCCAAGGTCATGCAGCTCCTGTACTGATTCATGAAGCTCCCCCACCCCTGCCTGTAGCCCCCTCCCCAGAGGTAACTGTTGCCCTCAGGCTCTCCACCACCACCACGCTAGATGCGGAAGAGTGCTTTGTATCGTGTGACCCACTGTGCAGCTTTGTCATCACGCCACGCTAGCATATGACCTAATGCAGGAGTATGTTGTTCCCACGGTCTGGGCTGGAAGGTCCCTGGGGATTGCAGTGCTCTGGGAGGCTTCCTGGAGTAGACTGAAGGAGAGGAGGTAGGGGCAGCTGGAGGGGAGAGGTCCCTGCCAGGTGGGTGTTACCACCTGTCCACCCTGCCCCCTCCCTTCACCCAGATGCAGCTGCTCTGTAGTGCCTTCCAGAGGGTCAAGGACTGGTAAGAACAGCCTTGCCTGGCAGAACTCCCCAGTCTTGTGGGTCACGCTGCTCTGGAAAGTTTGGCTCTGGTAGCTTCCTCCGGAGGCTGGCCCAGCTTTCAGCCGCCTGGGGCTGCAGCTCAGCCCACCCAGGCCCTGCAGCCCACTGGGGCCAAAACCAGTTGCCCCGTGGGTCTCTTGCCCTGGAATACCCTCTTCTCATCATCTTGCCTTTGTCCTAGCTCAGTGGATGCGTTTCCCGCCCCGCCAACCCCTCCCCTCCACCCAAAGCCTTTTCTGAACCCTAGGGGCTGGTTAGGACTTAAGAGTATCTAAACCTGTGCCGAACAAAAGAAATAGAATGTGAGCTACACATGTGAGCCACATATGTAATTAAAACATGTTCTAGTAGCCACATGAAAAAAAAAAGGAAAAAGAAACAGATGGAATTATTCTAATGATTTATTTTAACCCAATACGTCCGAAATATTATCATTTCAATAGAAACGTTACTAATGAGATCTATTACATTTCTTTCATTAAATCTTCCACATTTAGTGAGAATTTTACACTTACAGCACGTCTAAAATTGCAGGCGCCATATTTCGATTGTTCAGTAGCCACATGTGGCTTGTGGCTACCAGCGTGTGGTCAGCACAGTCCTAGAGGCAGGGAGAAGAGCGTCAGGGTTTGGCATCAGACGGATCTGGCCCCGCCATTTATTGGCTGGGTGAACTTTGGGAAGTCACGAAGCCCTCTGAGTCTCCATTACTTCAGCTGTGAAAGGAGTTAATAATTTCGATGCTGGAGAATTTTGTAAGAGTTAAACAAAGGAATGTGTGCCTGGTGCCAGACACAGAGTAAGTGCTCAGAAAATGATGGTGGTTCATCCTAACAGTAGCCTCCTCTATTCTGGTTTATGGGCCATGTTTCCCACTGATTGTGAATTCAAGGGCAGAGGCTACTACCCCATTCCTCTCCCCTTCCCCAATGCCCAAGTTCAGTGTGAATGTCACTGCTTGCTGAATGAAAGATTAAATCCTTGGGCTAGGAGTGCTCGCCATCCTCCCTGCCCACCCAGGAATCAAGGGGCTCCTGATGGCTGGGAGCCAGAGACCCCTGACTACCTCGGATGACCTTGGCAGAGACCACTGACTCCATGGGGTGACCTTGGCAAGTCTCTGCTTTGTTTAGGGCCTTTTCTCATTCAAAAGCTAAAAGGGGGGTGTGAGGGGTGTTGCCTGAAATATTTGGTTTAGTCTCTGCTGCACTGGTGGCCTTGGGGGACTGTGGCTCTCACTATGAGCTTTGCCTTCCCACTCAATAGAGTGAATCATTTCCATCCTTTTTCTGGCTTTCCTATATCCTGGGCACTTTTGCACCAAGTTCCCTCCAGTTAAAATTTAAGAGGAAAGAATTTCTCCTACCTCCGAGGCAGATCAGAGAGGGGATGATGAGGGGTCCTGTCCCTCTTCTTCTGCCAGCACTTGCTGACATCTCATCACAGCAACCCAGTAACAGAAGTAGGGCAGGAAGAATTTTTCCCATTTTGTAGGGGAGGTTCAGAGAGGTCAAATAATCTTCCCAAGTAACACAGAAAAAGTGATAGAGCTAGGGCTGGAAGCAGAATTCAGATAAGGGAACTGAAGAGACCCTCTTCATTGCAGGTACTCCTCTTCCTCCTGGCATTTCTCCATGGTGGCTTTCATGAGACAGAGCTAGGTCTGTCCCCCTGCCTCAGTTTCCCTGCCTGGGGAATGAAGGCGGCCAAGTAACTGGGGTAGTGATTTCAACTGATGCCTGTAGGGGCCATGTGTTCTTCAGAGAGTGCCCCCAACCCCGCCCCCCCCCAACTAGATTGCTCTAGAAAAAGTTATTGTAGGGCAAAGTGGAACGTGTCTGGTTCAGAGGGCCAGTGTTACTGTGCAAGTGTGACCTTGGACAAGTCACTCACCACTCTGGGACTCAGCCTGCCTATTTATAAAATGAAGGGTGATTATATCTCTTACAAGATGTGAAGATTGCACATGAAAGCCCTTTGCAAACTGGAAAGTGCTAATAGAAATGTTAGTCAATAATAATAATAATAATAATGATGATGATGATGACACAGAAATAACAATAATAGAAGAAGCCCGATTTTTCTGTGTGGTCCCACTGACCTGAAGTGAATTGGGCCCTTTGGGTATAAATCCAGAATGATGTCTGGGAACGTCCTGCCTTGGTCTTTGGAATGTAGCCTGGATTTGTCTGGGAAAGCGAGAGGCTCCATCCAGCTGAGGAGGGTGGGAAAGTGGCTCTGCCCCTGGGGAGGAGGGGGAGGAGGGGGAGGGCCCCTGCCTGGGGGAAGGAAGGATGGGGAGGAGAGTCCAAGGAAGGAGAGTTGAACTAGGAGGAACTGAAGGCTTTGGCCATGCAGCTCTGGGAGTCCAGGGTTGGGAAGGCCAGAGAGCGGAGGAGGCTGAGAGTCAATTTGGAATAAAAATACTTGAAGGCAGGCAGTCAAGAATCCCCCAGCAGTTGTGGCCAGGAAACAGTAAGTTCATCTGGTGTAACTCCTGAGTTTTCTGATCCTTTCACTCATTCATTTGAGTAAATGTATAGTGAACTGCACTCAGAGCACCCCCCAGTGGCAAAGTGACTTCCTCAAGGCCACACCCCGGACGGCCTGGGGAGTTCCTGGGAAGTACTGAATTTGGGAGGCCGGGGGAATAGGAAGCCCAGAGGCATAGGAGCAAATCTGTAAGGAAGTCTCCCCGCAGGACTCTGGTCCTTCTGTGTACTGGCCCTGGGCTGATTTGTCCATCTTCCCCGCTTCTGTTTGGAGGTGGGGCGTGTTCTCTGGGCTTGGGAGGAGCTGGCTTCCTGTGTTCTCTGCCCATTCCTGAGCCTAGTGGACCGCAGGGAGAGTAAAGGGACCGGAAGTGGTGTCTTGGGAACATCTGCAGAAGGAGTTTGTCGTGTTTAACTTGGAAAAGAGAAGCCTTGGTTTGGGTGTGGGGAGAAGGGACACAGCTATCTTGGATTCTCTGAGGGGTACTGGGGAGAGGGCATAGCCTCTGTGTGTGGAGGCCCAAGGGTTGGTAGTGTGACCTAGGGTGCAATGTCACCACGACAGTGGAGCAGCCACCGTGGGAGGGGAGGAGTTGCCTGGCCCTGGAGTGTGGGAGTAGAGATGGAAACTGGTGAGTCTGACACAGAGGGACACAACTCATTGGTGAAGTTGACACTGAGGGAACTGCAGCATGGGGGGACGCATGGCTCTGCTCAGAGCTGGGCTGCTTCGCAGCTTTGGGCCTCTGTGGTTTCAGTTGTAGTGGATTCTGTGGTGCCTAGCACTGTGGCTGGCACATAGGAGGTACTCAGGAATCATTTGGAGATTTGAAAGAATAGATGTGTATGCCAGGGGGTGGGGGTAGATAGGGAGCAGGGGTCATGCGGGCTGCAAGTGCGGACCCATGGGCAGAAATCTTTGGAAATCACGTTGTGGATTACCCATCATTTTCTCCAAGGCCTTCCCCACAAACTGGGACCCCTAGAGATGAGTATGTACAACCTTTCTTTCATTGCTCACAAACTGAAGCCCAGAGCAGGAGAGCAACTTGCCCAAAGGTGCTGGCAAGAGCCAGTGGCAGAGCTGGACTGGAATCCAGGCCCTCTGCCTCCCAGAGTCCTTTGCTGTTTGAGGTCCTGCCCTATTGATGGACTAAATGGGAGGTGCAGTGGTTGGGACCAGCTTTTTGAGTTATTGCTGCTAGGGGGGAGGTGCAGAGCCTTATTTGGTTTTGACCCATGACCTTGGTGCCCTAGGCCCCTTGGCCCCTCCCACTACCTTCCTGGAGCCCGGGTGCCGGCCCAGCATGTGCTCACACATCCAGAAGGGAAACACATTGGTACACGGGCCCAATCCCCACTGCTATGTATAGTCATTGCCACCGAAGCACATATAGACAAATGTACACACACACACACACACACACACACACTCAGAGACGTGCACATACCTACCAGGGAAAAGCCCTGAGTCCCAAGGAGACAGACTGTGCCCTGCTGTGCTGCTTGGGAAGTGAGGGTACCGGCTAGGTGGGCTGCAAGGCCCACTGAGGCTGAGTCACCTCGTCTGAGTCAGGGATCCTCCCCGCTTCCCTTTCCCCCTCCCTCTCTCCCTGCTGAGCCCCCAAGAGGGGTTGGCTCAGCTAGGAGGGCCGAGGCTGGCCCGGGCTGGGGTGGAGGCAGCGGAGGCGGAACAGTTGGTTTTTGATGCACGGTCCGGCGGTGGTCCGGGAACTGCCGCTGTGGCAGCCCCGGGAGGAGGTGCCTGGGAGCCTGAGCGATAGAGACGGGGAGAGGGAGAGGAAGACAAGCGGAGAGGAGGCGGAGGCAGGGGCAGGGCGGCCGGAGGGAGCAAGCAGGCGCGCGGAGGCCGCCCCTGGGCTGGGCGCGGGCTGGGCGGGGGCGGGGGCTGGCCGCGCGTCGGGCGCCAGGCCCGGGGCTGTGGGCACAGTGCCCAGCCCCCGGCGCACGCCGAGCTGCCGCCGCCGCCGCCGCCGCCGCTGCTGCAGTCGGCATCCATCAGCGGGCGGGGGTGTCGTGGAACAGGCTGCTCCGCAGAGCCCGGGGCTGCCCGGCGCGCCCGCCCCGCCCCGCGGCCTGCCACCCGCAGGAGCTGAGGGGCCGCCCCCAGCCCAGCCTGCCCGAGATGGGGACCCCCAGGCCCAGGTAGGCAATAAGGGGGATCAGGTGGCACGCGGGGGGTGGGGGAGCTGTGGGCTTGGCACATGTAGACCCGGACTCCAGCCCTAGAAGAATACTGGGGGTGAGACCGGGAGGAGCTGAGTTTGCAGGCTGTTGGACCCCTGGCCAGTGTGGGGGTGGTCCTTGCCTGTTCCTCCCAACCTCCTCGCTCTGCAGCCTCCCTAAGGCCTGGAGAGAGAGAGGAAGGAAGGCAGTGGGCTGATTGGTGCTTGCTATAGGGATGAAGGTTGCTGGGTGCTGGGCTCACCCAGGCTGGTCCACTCTGATCTCCAAGACCACTTTTGCTGCCTCCGTGGAGGTGGAGGGCTCTCTGGGTGTCTCCAGTCCTGCTCCAGATGCTGCAGGGCAGTTTCCTGGGGTGGCTGGAGGCTGGGGTGCTGGGGAGCTCCTGCCCTCTCCCTCACTCCCTGGTTACAGACCTTCCCCTACTCCAGGCTCACTTCCCATCCTGCCCCCCTGCCAAGTCTCCCAAAGCTGGGGGATGGGCCTTAGCCCCAGGACCTCTGTGGTTCTGGCTTGGCCTTGTCTGAGCAGCCGTTGCCCCCCACTGATTAGAGAGAGAGAGGACTTGCTGGTCCTAGTTGTGTCTGGCACCTTCACACTTGGGGATCTCTGGGGCCCAAGAGGCTGGGGTCTGGGGGATGGATGGACAGGGGCCAAGCAGGGTACTCACCAGGTGTTGCGGCCACTGCCAGGCAGAGCTATGGCCCAGGATGGTCCACACGGACCTTGAGAGGCTGGACAAAGCCTAGGAAGGGAGCTCTGAGGATGCTGGGCTCCCATATGGTCCTGGCACCCCCCTCCCCGCCAGTTCTGAGGATGTGGGGGAGGTACGACGTGAACCTGCCTCACTTCTGGATCTGCCTAGTGCCTCCTCTGCCTCCAAAAGTGGGAGTCTAAGAGGGCCGGATTTAGGACCGCTCTGAGGCCCTCACGGGGTCCAGCCGCTCCATCTCCCCACCAACCCTCAGCGTTAAGAGTCTTCCAGAATCAGCATCAGTGGGGTCAGGTTGAAACCCGGGGACTGTGATGGTGGCCTTAGATGCTCCTGGAAGACTCAGTGCTGCCTGTCCTGGGCAAGGGTGTGGAGAATAGAAGTGGCTGTGTGCCCGCCTGCCCACCCATTCCTCCAAATGGAGCCTGCAACAGAGGCAGCCTGTGCCAGCCTCCTTTCTGAGCCACCGTGGCCTAGGGAGGCTCTGCCAGCTCTGCCCAGGGATGGAGCTGGCTTCTGCTGGCCCACCTGAGGTCATGCCTGCCAGGGGACACCATGTACAGTATTTTTGTTGTGCAGGCATGGTCCCTGGAGGGGCACCTCAAGGCAGTTCTGGAGAAGATCAGTGCAGGGGGCATTGTTCTTATTTAAACCCTTTCTGGGCCACATGGCAGCTCCCTGGGGCCAGCTCTGTGAGCTTCATGGAGGGTTGCTTCCACAGAACTCACACGAGAACAATGTTTGGTCCTGTAGTCCTCACTCGGTAAATATTGAAAGGTTGATTGAGGCCTAGAGAGGAAGAGTGACTTATCCAAGGTCACACAGCAACTGAGTGGGAAAGCCAGTACTAATGTACCAGGCCTCCTTTCTCTTGGTTTGGGGTTCTTGCAGCCCAAATGCCTGCTTCCCTGGTGCTGTGGTTGTCCCATACCCAGAACTCTGACGGGTTGGGCATTATAGCCTGGAGCCCAAGGCTACCCCTTAGGAGGGGCCTTACATTGGCCCCCCTAACCCTTGCCCCCAGAAGGTGAGGAGGATAGGCCAGGATGCCTCACAAATAATGGATCAGGACTGAGGTAGCACCAAGGGGGTTGTGGGAGTGTACAGAGCCAAGAGGATGCTGGGTGCCTGGGGATATTCTGGGCCTGAGCCTCCGGGGCCGTGGAGAGGGTTTCCTGACCAGACCAGCTGAGGTGAGAAGTGCCTCTGTATTAGCTCCAGCATGGACGTCTCTGGACTTGTGTGTCCCCATCTACTGAAAGGGGATACTATTCTCTCTTTGGAGGAATATCCGTGATTACACAATCAGAGTGACAATATTTATTGAGCACTTACTGTATGCCATGCAGTGTGATAGATAAGGGCTTTGCATCATCTCACAGCAACCCTGTCAAGTAGGTGCTATTATTATCCTCATCTTACAGATGAGAAACAGGCTCAGAGAGGTGGTGGCACTTGCCTGAGGTTATACAGCTGGGACGGGTGGCGCTGTCTGAGTCCAGAGCACCTCTCTCCACCATGACATTGGACCTGGGGCAGTGCCTGGGAGTACCAAGTTGGTGTCCAGCAGAGCCAGGTGACTGATATGCCAGGATGGGCTCTGGTAGAGAGGTCTATTTGTCAGGTCTGTGAGGCAAGGGTGGCTCTGTGGCCTGAGCGCTCCTGTGGTCCTGAAGGGTTGGCCTTGACCTTCTGCTTCCTGGCCAGGTTTCCCTAGAATTGGGGATGCTCTGGAATCTCTGCTCCCATTGGCTGTCAGGGAGGACTGGCTGGCCCTGACACTCTCTCCCTGCCACATTTGGTAGGGCCCTAATGACCAGAAAACCGAAGGCTGGGAATGCAGGGCCCCAGCTCGGACTGTGTAGAGGAGGCCATGTGGGGGTGGGGGGACCCGAGCCCGGTGGATGGCATGGAGTGGGAGCAGGCTGGTACCGCTTCCTTTGTGGGTGGGAGGCTTGTGAATAAGAATAGTAACCGCCAGCATTTATTGAGCACTTATTACATGCCAGGCATTGTTTTAAGGGCTTACCTGTACAACTCACACCATCTTCATAAAACCCTGTGAGATAGGAATTCTTCTTCTTCACATTTTACAGATTGAGGGAACTGAAGCTTAGCAAGGGAAAGACAGTTGCTCAAGGTCACACAGCTAGGTCATGGGGGAGCCAGGATTTAAATCCAGGCCCTGTGGATCAGAGCCATGTCTCTGAAAGGGAACCCCCTGCATATGCTAAGCATGTGTTCCTACTTGTGATCAGAGAAGGCTCTGGGCACCAAAGGCCAAGTGGAATTTTGATAGGGGGAAGGGCATCTCCACTTCCCCAAGTCAGAGGGGAAGGAAATAGGGATGCCTTTGAAGAAGATCAAGTGGTCTGGTGTGCATGGAGCAGATGGGGCAGAGGGCCGGGGATGCTGGGAGGTAACTCAGAAAGTCAGCTTGTGTTTGGGCCTTTGGCAAAGCTCTAAAACCCACCAGACCTAGGCTCCGGCTCTGCTGTGTACTCGCCATGTGGGCTTGGGAGCATCACTTAGCTGGTCTGAACCTGTTTCCTCGTCTGTAAAATGTGGATAAACACACCTATCTCATAGAGACCGCGTTTGCTTGTTTTATGTAGAGGACTGGTGCAGTGCTGGCGCATTCCAGGGACTCAGTAAACATTACTTCTGTCCGCCCTCCATCTCTCTTAAATGTCAGGCTAAGGTGTTTCCACTTGACAGGAGCCAGGAGGCTTCGGGAACCTTTGCAGGTGTTTGGTCTACATGGGGCATGCACTGGGGCACGACAGATCTGTATTTGGGAAGGTCCCTTTGGCTACAGTAAGAACCATACGGAGGAGGCGGACCGCAGCCTTGCAGGGAAGAACCAACCCTCTGGACTCGGAGGCTGGGGCAGGAAGGAGTTGCAACTGCAGTAAGATGTCTGTCTCCTGGGGGAGGGGGGGCTCAGCTGGTTGGGGAAGAGGCAGCTTGGGGTGGTGGTGGTGGTGGGGGGGGTGCTACCAGGGTCACAACTTCAGTTTGAGGCCTTGTGAGATTAAGATGATGGACTGTCTTCCTTCAGTCATTCGAAGGTTGTGCAGCATCTTTGTATATCTGGCTTTTTTTTTTTTTTGGTCATTTGAATAATTTTCTTTGGATGAATCCCCATCAGAGCTTCCTCTATAATGGCATCAAATTGGGACTAAGTGCCTGACAATAGCAAGATGATTGAGAACATTTTGGCACCTCCAGTGGATAAAATAATATGTAGCCGTGAACAGCCACAGAAATACTTCTCTTGCAGCATATGGAGCTGTGCACTTGTGAAGGTCCTGTGCAGCCTTTATTCATTTCATTCATGTCCCTGTGACAGAGGCGGGACAGGGGTTAGATCCTTCCTGTGCATGAAGAGATTCAGGCGAGGCTCTGATTTCCATGAGGGCAGGGTTCATATTTTATTCATTGTTCTATCCTCAGTGTGTAGCTCAGTGATTTGCAAATGCTTGTCTGGTGAAATAATTGTTCAAGTGAACAAAGCAGAGGGGAAGTGACTTGCCCAAGGTCATGTAAATGGTAAGACCCAGGACCTGAGTCTCCTCATTCCTATTTACCAGATTCTTCTCACTCACCCCTCAGTATCCATGAGGGGAGCAGGGCAGAGAGGTTCCCAGCAAGGGCTTGGGATGCACACAGGCCAGGGCCCAAGTCCAAACATTTCATCTTTTTAAGCCTTGGTTTCCCCATCTGTAATGTGAATAGTCCACGTACCTCCTTTTAGGATTTGTCATCAAGACGAAATGATTTAAAGCATGTAGAGCTCTTAGCATGGCAATTAGCACATAGTATAGCACTCATGAATATTAGGTGTTCTGATAATGATGCTATAATCATGTGGAAATATTTCTGATATAGTTAATGTTAAATGGAAAAAAAAGAAAAACCCAGAAAATTATGAGCCTGAGATTAAAGTGGTGTAAAATTAGGTATGACCATAGATAGAGATGGGAAGCGAAAAAGCAGAAATAGACTTATAGCAGGTACTGTAGGAAGGAAGAAAGACTGACCAAAATAAATCTTTAAAAAATATTATATTTATTTTTTTCTTTAGCTTTAATTACAAAAGAAATATGTGAAAAATCCTAGTAATTCAGAAGTGTATTCCCTCCTTGGCTCCCCAACCAAAACCCTCTCACTAGGAGTCGCCAATGATAACAGTGTGGTGTGTTTCCTTCCAGAATATTTCCTATGCTTACATAAGCATACACACCAG